TTGGTCACAGACCAGACCATTGTGACCCCCAGGGTTTTCATTGGCTGATTTTCAGGAGCGCCACAGAAGCCTACTCAATATCATAGCAGCCAACAGGCCTCCACTAATGGGGGGTGGAGGGGGGGTGTAAGCTACACCTGAGCTACATTGGCCCAGAATTGAGCCAGGCTCTCCTCATGGGAGGTGGGAATTCTACCACAGTCCCCCACCACTGAGCCCCTGCCAACTCACAGAATCTCCGTGTGTCCCCCAGGAGAACGGCGGGCCTGGTTTTCCAGCGGCCCAGCTCCAGGCCTTCTCTCCAAGGCAAACCGGGGCGGACTCAAACATCTAACCTTGTGATTAGCAGCCAAGTGTGCTAGCTCTTTGTACGGCCCAGGGACTCCATCTGTAGGATTATCTCTGGCAACTCCCTTCAGTGGTTTTGTTTCTATCCTACTCCAAATATCTGCAATTAGCTGTGTGTGGCCTCCTCTGAGAGGCGTTTCAGGGGTGGACAGCAAGATGGGACGAGGGCAGATGCACCGAGGGGATCAGGAATGTGTGGGACCAGTGATGGTTCCAGAAGGTTCTCTAAGATGAACTTAGAGAGCAGCCGTCTCTCCGCACAGAGGGACCTAACACCAAATTCGATGTGAAAAACACCCAAGAAAGAAAGAACAGTGGTGAAATAACGTGCTTGCCTGCCACGTGGTAGATGCTCAGTAAGTATTTAGGGTTACAGTCACCGACGATGATACATTATTTTAAAAACACTGTGCAATATTAAAAAACCAAACTCACTGCTATCAAATCGATTCCAGCTCATAGTGACCCTCTACAGAGGGCTGGGCAGGACAGAACTGCCTCTGTGGCTTTTCTGAGACTGACTTTTTACAAGAATAGAAAGCTTCACCTTCTTCCCAGACACCGTAGTGGTTTTGAACTTCTATCTGGTGGTTAGCAGCCTAGTGCATAACCCCTAGGCCACCAGGACTCCTCTCTGCAATGTTAGAGATGCACATTTAAGCCCGAACAGATGGAAAGTGAAGGTTCATCCTCCAACGACAGTCACTCCTGTACACAGCTTGCCCTCTGGGACCAAACCCAAGGCCGGCAGCCTGGCGGGTCTGAACTACTCCGCACTGTGCATTCCGCAGGACTGAGTTATGATTGGAATAAGGGTATTTCTGCTCACTCTTGTTGGCCTTTACATTTTAAGTCTCTCTATAAGATAGCTCTTGGCTTTTAATTGCCCTGAACTTTTGTTAACATTAAATGGAGAGAAGAAATGGGCAGGAAAATAAAAACCATATCTGTATTGCTTTGGAGTTGCATAATTGTGTGTTTTTGCCGCACCATTAGTTTCAAACTCTCTCAGCCTGTGTGCCTCTCCCCCCAAGGAGAAAAAAAACACTACTACTACTAAGGCATTCAATGTGGGCTACAGAGTTTGCAGAACACTAAGCTCCCTTCTGTGTTATTGAGGAGAATTGTGCAACTTTAAATTTCAGATTTATGCGTTTCATCGCCGCCTGTGCGGGAGGCCGGGGAGCTGGCCAGCGCGTCCTTGGCTGTCCCTTCCCTTTGCAGACACCACGCTCTCCCTCCAAGAGGCCATGACGTCGGAGGGCTTAAGCCTCAGTTTGGAGAGTCGCCCAGAAGTAGCGCTTTCCCTTGATTCGTGGAACAGAAACGGCGGCGCCCAGCCCAACCGCCCCGTGGCCCACATGACTTCAGAGCCCCGGCTCCCTTTCCAAAAATAAACTCTGCCCAGGTGCTTTCGACCTCACCCACAGACACTGCCTCCCAACCCTTCCCTCCACAGTGTTCCAGATGAGTGTGAGAGCTGTCTTGCTCTGTCACCATAGCTACAGGCTTTATGAGCATCGGAACCAGGGTGTGGTCTGAGGTACAGGAACGGCACACAGAAGTGTGGCATCGTGTGCGGCCTTACATGCTTCAAATGGGCAACGGGGTTCCTAATGGTGATGATTCATAAAGGGCCGGAGAGGAGCCGGCAGGGTGGAGGGCTGCAGCCCTAAGAGAAGTGAAGGGTTCTAATGTCAGCCTCCGATTGGCTTGTTCATATAATACTCCAGAACACCACTGCCTGGCCTGGACACTGCAGTCTTCGCTTGGCAGTGGCCTCCTGTGTGCCTTGGGGCCTTGTTGCTCTTCACAACAACCTGGCCAGGATTCTTGGGACGGGAGATGGCCTGGTGTACCAGGCGAGGAAAGGGCCCAGAAAGCATAACTGGCTCACCCCACGGTCAAGAGACCAAAGGATGCTACTGCCCTGAGACTAGAGCTGGGCCCTCTGCTCCTGCCTCAGGACTCTGACCACCTGCCTTTTGACCAGCTTTCTGCAATTGTATCTGGGAGCATTTTCATGCGTGTTCATTCTTCCGGCAACATCCCTCCTCCTTGATGGGTTTAAATTTTTTTTTTAATTAAAAATCATTTGGCTGATTAATCAAAAGAACTAAAACTAAGCTCACTGCCATCAAGTCGATGCCGACTCATGGCTTAACCGTACAGGGTACAACAGGGCCGGGTAGACCTGTCCCTGTGGGTTTGAGACTAGAACGCTTTATGGGAGAAGAAAGGGGAGTGGCTGGCTGTAACATAATGAACGACCGACCTTGCCGTAGCAGCCCAGTGGGTAATTACTACACCACCGGGCCTCCATTGATTAATCAACGATTGGGGTCAATCAATCAAACCAGAGGCCACAACTGGAAAGAAAGTCTTGCCTTTCCCCTCGGATCTATTTTCCAAGCCTTTACGTACGGTAGCTTTGCCCTACAGACAGGAAACCCCAAACCCACTGCCATCTCAGAGCGGCCCTCCAGGGCAGGGCAGCGCTGGCCCGCGGGTTCCCGAGCCGGTGACTACTAACTTGTTCTCCTAGGAACTGCTGCTGGGTTCCCATCGCAGATCTTGCCGTTGGCAGCCAAATGCTTAACCCACTGTGCCACCCGGGCTCCTTGCAGTCAGGTCGCCCCTACTCCTGTGGGAGTTGACAGTCCAGGCGCTGCAAGTTCAAAAAGCCTCCAGGGGCCAGCCTGCTGACAGGACGGAGAGAAGCTGGCAGGCTAAGGGCTGTGCTGTGGGGTCAGGCGGGAACAGACAGCACCCACAGACTGGTTAGGTCAGCTATTCATTACGTCAAACTAAAACCTCAGAGTGTCGCATGAAGTTGGAGAAGGCAATTAAAAAGTGCCTCTGGGTGGGATGTCACTTGTGGACTGCAAGTGTGCTGTACACCGGCTCGAAGACTTACACCCTCTGTGGAGGTTGCTCTCAGCCTGTCTGCTGCTCCCCTTGTGAGGGGTCTGGAGTCTACTCACAGCAGCCTCATGGGACAGTGCCACGCCTTATGGAGAAACGCATTCTTGAGTCAATACCTTCTGGCACCTGAAGGAGGTCATATATTTCAATAGGAATCACATGTCTGGGTTCTTCCAGCCCATTCACCAGGGGTGGCCCCACAGAGAGTGACACACGTGGCCACCTGTAAGATAGTTCATGGATGCATGATTAGGTCAATGCCCATTCTCCTAGAGGATAAAGCCCCCAGGCTGAGGTCCTCAGCCTCCTGAGAACAGCGGTTGAATGGCATGCAGGTCACAGGGCTCAGACCAGAAGGACCAATTGGAAACCTCCTGCTGCACTTTGGCACAAGGGTTACCCCTAGGGCTGTGATCTGCATGGTCAGCAGCTCCAAACCACCCGCAGCAGCTCAAACCCGAGGGAGAAAGCTGGACTTTCTACTCCAGGAAACCGTCTCGGAAACCAACTGGGGGTCGATGAGACAGTGAGTTTGGTTTGGTTTTAGGGCCTTGGGAAGGTATGTAATCTCCAGTAACCTCAGTTTTCTCATCTCTATCCCCAAATACTTTGCAGAGTCAATGCTGCCTCATAGTGACGCTTTAGTATAGACTGACTAAATGCCCCCAAGGATCCTAAGGCTGTCATTTTTGCAGCAGGCAGACATCTCTTTCTCCCAAAGAGCAGCTGGTGGGTTTGAACAGCCGGCCTTTGGGTTAGCAGTTGAGCTCTCAACCACTGCGCCACCGGGGCTCCTCCTCAACTGTGTCACGGGGATAAAATAGGGGCCACGCCTCTAGAGCCCCTATTACCCCAGGGAGCCGCACCCTTAGCAAGAACTCTGCCTACGGCCGCCTCTCCCTTCACTAGCTCCTCCCCTGCTCCTGAGCGAGGTGATAAGACAGTTAGGCAGCCCTCTGTGTTGCAGTCTCCAGTCGAAAGAGGCCGAGCCCAGGGAAAACAAGGCAGCATGCCAGCGGGCATGAAGAGGAGAAAGTTGATCGTGGGGAAGCAAACAAGGCTCCCCTGAGAAATAAAACCCCAGAGATCAAGGGTGCTGAGCAAGGGGGGGCGGGGGTGAGGTGGAGAAGCCACTGGGGAAGAAGGGACATCAAGTTAGCAAGAAAGCAGGGGCGAGGCCAATGCAAACCAATTCCGTGAAACAGCCATGGAATTCTGGTGCAGACCGAACCAAACGGTGCTTTCGTAAATGATGGCTTCACACAGCACGAATCGTACATCAGGAAGAAGTACTGTGCTTTGTGGTTTCCCAGGCACATTCAAAGCCCCACTGTGTGTAAAGGAACTCAGGTTACATGCTTTCTCCACACGATCTCGGTTCCCACCCCCAGCCTTGCTTGCTTTCATCTGTCCGTCCATCTGTCCATCTGTCCATTCCGCAAACGCTCACTGCTGGGCCAGGCCCCGGGCCAAGCCCGAGGAGAAAGCAATGCAGCTCGGGCAGTAAAAGGCCTCACCCTCAGGGCCGGGCTGCTGTCCCTTTCCAGCCCAGAAAGCTGACATCAAAGTGCAGATGTCAAATTCCCCAGGCCCTGCCCCACGGGAGTGGGGGGAGGCAACATTCTTGTTTTCTGGTTGCTAGGGAGAAGATGGGGGAAATTTCCTTGATGAGCTCAGGCAGATAAAGGTGAGGAAGCTGATGACTTGCTGTCAGACTAGAGACCTTATATTCGCTGGAGCGCCGCATCTAGTGGCTGAGCCGCACGGCCAGTTGGTAAGGACTCAGGGTTCTCAGACTCTGTGGTACCTTGGTGGTGTGGGGGTTATGCCTTGGCCTGGGCTCCGCATTCGTTGGTAGTTTGAAACCACCAGCAGCCGCTCTGCAGAGACAGACGGGCTCTCTCTTTCCATAAACAGTTACAGGCTCGGAAACCTATGGGGGCTGACTGTGAGTCAGCACGGCTCCATGGCAGGGAGTGGTTGGCTTTTTGGTGGTACCGAGAGGGGTGCCATGTGACTAGGAGTGAGAATAGAGGAGAAGTGGAAGAGAAGGCAGGGACTAGAGACTCCTCTGTGTGACAGAACGTCAGTGAAACCCTGGCTGAACCTTCGCCGTTGGCCTTCGGTTAGGCTCTGATCCTTTCCCTGAGATCACCTTGAGAAGAGAGAGGCTGTCTTTGACCTCCCATGTGTTGCCTAGCACACCTTATTCATACTTGATTGATTGAAAGATTGACCCGTTTGAACCTGACGTGAAATTGAGCTTTGTGATTTTCTTTTCTGCGGAACCTGAAATGGAGCACATAATAATTAGGCAAGGATGCCTCGTTATCAGGAAGTTCCAGCTACAATGGGCTCTTTGTAACTGAGTGAAAGCTAGGTAGGCGATTATTCGGAAGCCGATTAAGCACGCTCCCTCCACCCACAGCTGCTTTCAGAGATACTGGGATGTGCTTGATGATCATTTCTTCCTCAACTGAGCTAGGTGGCTGAGGATCGAGATGGTCATTGCCATCAAAATCTGACCACATATGTCGCCGCCAGTGGTCACTTTCCTAGGTCCTTCCTTGTCCCTGCTCTCTCCCCTCCATTGACCTGGATGGACAGATCACATTTGTCAGACCCTTAGCTTAACTTGCGTGACTTCTTGCAAGCATTCCTTTAGCCCCTTGTCAGATTCCGAGGAGAGAGACAGAGTACAGCAAGGAAAGGCCCTCTTCCCACAGAAAACATCTTCTCCTGGAGGAGGAGGGCATGCAAACCCAAGTGACTAGCACATGCCAAGTGGCTGCAATATTGCAGAGCGGGAAAGGCTACCAAGGCAGGTGTGGGAGAGGCTGACCAGGGGAAAGGCCTTGTGGTGAGACCCCAAGTGTGGTGGCCTCTGAGTGGAGACACATTTGAGCTGAGATTTGAATGTCCTGAAGTCATTGTGACAAGACCTGAGTACTAAACTGAGGGAGTAACATGACCCTGAGACTGTGGATGATCCCAGAGAGTGGCCAGGGCTCAAGCGTGAGCAAGAAAGGGGTGTGAGCAAGAAAGGGGTGTGAGGTAAGGGCAGAGGAGGCAGGCACCAGATGATGGAGGGACTTGTGGAAGTGAATAAAGAATTTAGATCTCACTCCACAGGTGATGGGAATTCTCGAGGAGGAGGAGGTGGGGGAGGGACCCATAACCTGGAGAACCAGAGAGACTGGTTAGCAAGCTCTCACAGTAATCCAGGCTAGAGAACATGGTAAAATAGCCACGAGAAGACGCCGGTGAATTGGGGGGGATAGAGACCTTGAGACCTGCTGATAGGACCAAGGTGGGGGAAGCAAACAGGAGGATCAAGGATCAACAGTGCATCCTCCACCTCATCCATCTGAAAGAATCCAGTTATTCATCCCTTATTTACTGCGGCCTAACTGGTGGGCTAAGTACTGAACTGCTAACTGCAGGGTCAATGGTTCAAACACAACTCCTGAGAAGGATGAGTCTATCTGCTTTGGCATGATTTCCAGCCGTGGCATCCTCTAGTCTACAGGATCACTGTGAGTCGGAGTTGATTCAATAAGAGTGGGTTTGGGAATGATGTGATGGGTACAGAAATAAGACTTCAGGTCATCCAAAGTAGTCAGAGCACAGCCCTTTAAGAATTTACAGAGCGTAAGATGTGACAAAATAATAATTTATAAATTATCAAGGGTTCATGAGGGTGAGGGGCGTGGGGAGGGAGGGGAAAAATGAGGAGCTGATACCAAGGGCTCACGTAGAAAGCAAATGTTTTGAGAATGATGAATGACAACAAATGTACAAATGTACTTGACACAATGGATGCATATGTATGGATATGGATTGTGATAAGAGGTGTACAAGCCCCCAATAAATGATTTAAAAAAATAAATCAAAAGGGCGGCATTTACCCAAGGACAAAGCTCAGAGGGTTATAAAAGAGGGAGACATTTAAATAGGAACTGCAGGGAGGAAATGAAATAAGTGATGGTACATTTAGGGGATTGCAGTGGATGAGTTGAAAAAAGAGTTATGAATTATTGAATGTAAACCTTATGATGTGCTTTGTAACCACCTAATTCACAATACAAAGTTAAAAAATAAAAATCGAAATAAAGAGTATGCAGAACGGCAAGAGAAGCAGGCCCTTGCATACAAGAGAACGTTTTATGTTGAGAGAAAAGAAATGTGCATCACTCCTTATGCTTTGGTGGTCTTTTAATTTCTCCAAGAAAACAAATAGTGACAATACAAGGAGATAAAGGCTAGGTCTATGGGCGCACAGAAGAGGGGACATGGACCAAGTCACTCAGAGAGGAGACTTGAAGGGCAAGTGCTTCCAGTGAAATGGGGCCAAGGGAAGGAGGCAAGAGAGAGGACGTTTCAAAGGATGAAAATGGGAGGGAGCAGAAAGGTGTGGGGGACTCGAGGAGACAGTGGTGATGAGGCTGGGGGTAGAGATGAGGCCGGGGTGAAAGAGCTCCAGGGACTGACCCTTCTTGCTAAGGAGCTGTGATTATCAGGTAAGTGATGGAGAGCCAAGAGAGGCTGGCCAGGGGTCGGGGGTGTATAAGCACACCCAGATTTAAGAAAGATGGGCTAGAGAAAAGAAAATCCATACAGCAGTGTGAGGGCCGGGACAAATGTAATTTTGCTACTGTTATGAATTGGGCGACCCTGTGAAAGGGTCGTTCAACCCCCGAAAGGGGTCGCGACCCACAGGTTGAGAACCTCTAGTATAGACGAAGGCGCTGGACCACACCGGTCTTATTGTTGACTATCTCCTTGGAGCCTAGGACAGGGAAATGACACGGAAACAAGAGGAGAGTGTGGTGTGGGGTGAGGGAGGAAACTGTACACCCCCACCCCCCATCATGAGGGGTCCATGGAGAGGGTGAAGAAATGACCCAGACCTCCGATTTCTGCTCCTGCGTGATGCTTACAAGGGTTTTCACTCTGAAGTGGTTGTCTTATAAAAAGAATGACAAATGGAATAACTTAGAAAGGATCTCATTACCACATGAAGATTTGAGAATGGGAGGGGGGGAAAGTCTTTTAAAGAGACCTATATAATCAAAGTTACGATTAAGAAGTCATGAGTCCAGAACTGTCCCACATTCTAAGAAGGCAAACAAAACCATTATTAGCAAAGAGTCGAGGGATCTTTATTTTGGCTAGCCTATTTGTTTGGGGTCAAATAAGCAAGGTTCCCATTTATTGCCTGGCTCTGCTCTGAGGCTCTCTACATCTACTGACTCATTTAATTCTCCAAACACCATTATTACCAATTCTACTTTATAAAGGAGAAAACTGAGCCCCGGAGAGTGAGGATAAGTCGCCCGCCCTGTGGCACACAGCTCATGAGCAGCCGGCCAGGATCCATGGCCCCAGAACCCCCGCTTGAGCACACAGCTGAGCCCCTCTCAGGAAGAGTTGTGGAGCTTGTCGTCGTCGGTTTATTAGTCGTGTGTTTTCCTTGTGTATGGGTCCTGCTGGCATAAGGGTTAAGCTCTTGGCTGCTAGACAAAAGGTTGGCGATTCAAGCCCACCCAGTAGCTCTGAGGAGAAAAAAACCTCCCAGTCGAGTCCCATAAAGAGTCCAAAACCAAACTCACTGCCATCAAGTCAGTGCTGACTTACAGCGACCCTACGAGGCAGGACAGACTGCCCCTGTGAGGTTCTTGAACCGGGATGCTTTGTGGAAGTAGAGCCCCGTCCCTCTCCCTCAGAGCACCGAATTGCTCATCTTTTAGATTGCAACCTAACACATAACTACTGTGATAGGTTTATTGTGCCAACCTGGCCAATAGGCACATGTGGGATTAATCAGGTCGAAGGTTGATTGGAGGGCAAAGAGATAAATGGCTCTGCAAGGCCTCTCTCTCTCTCTCTCCCTCTCTCCCTCCCTCTCCCTCTCCCCCTCCCTCTCTCTCTCTCTCTCTCTCTCCCTCTTCCCCTCTCCCCCTCCCTCCCCCTCCCTCCCTCTCTCCTCTCTTCTCTTCTCACCCCCACCCCAGTGTGTGTGCTGCTGTGTTAACTAGTTCTTTGCCTCAACCTGTGAGCTGCATTACCTGTGGGCCAGGCCAAACCCAGTGAATCGTGTTGCTAGAGCTTGATGTTCCTTCAAGACCTGCTTTGCCACGCTGCTGTTGTGTACATCGCTTGAGCTTGAGGCTGGCAGATCCTGTCACCTTGCACTGCTTGTGTTTGATTTCCCATCCGGGCCTGCTTTGCAAAGCTCCTGAGCTCCTGACTGTTGGTGACCCACCCTGCTGTTTCTTGCCTGTGGGCAGACTCTGCTGTCTGTTTCCTTGACCTTAGACCAACTCAACCCATGTGAGTTGAAGGACTTCAGTATATTAACTGTTCTGTGGAAATGAGTTGAACTGAACCCTCTCTACTGCTGTGTGGACTGATTATAGTCCTTCTCGCCGTATAAACCTATCCTCTTATAGAGAAAGAAAATCATGAGTCCTGGTTTCATTTCTTCAGAGAACCCTCCTAATACAACCACTGTGCCACCGGGCTCCCTGCCATAAAGATTGTAGCCTTGGAACCCCTGCGGGGCAGCTCTGCTCTGCCCTGTAAGCCACTGTGCACTGGCACCCAGCAAAGACATTAGTCCGGACAGGCTAGCTGCGAGAACAAGTAGTTCCCCTGACAGCGGTTTTCTTCCTCTCTCATCCCACTGTGCACTGAGGTCAGCAGGGTGCGCTGGCCACAGAGTCCTTCAGGAACACCTGACATTCTTTTGCCTTGGACGGCCAATGAGCAGCA